AGTGAGAACTCTGAGAACTACAGAGTACCACTGAGAACTACAGGGTAGACTGAGAACTACAGGGTACCTGTGTGTGGCTACTGCCCTGTCTTACTGAAAACTAGAGGGACCTCAGTAGTACAGTACTACTAAGGATCATAGAGTACTAGCAACCAGATTACTATAGAGTACTACAGACTACTTGTATGACTGCCGAACCTCATCTTTTGACCTCTTGACCCTCTCTTCGTCTTTCCTGGACTTCTTCAGCGCATCTGGACCAACGACAGAGAGCACGCTGCGCAGCCTGAAAACAAACAAAGTCCTCTTAAAAGCAAACGTTCTGACTGGCTGACAGGTGAGCTGACTCCAGAGCAGTAAGAAGTACAAGAGAAATTCTCCTACCGCTCACGGCGGTCAGCTGGTCCCTCCCCGAACAAAGTGATTGGCTCTCCCAACGCTCGGAGGCCGGCCTTAACCTCGGCGTCATCAGTGGACACGGTGATCTGCCGTGCTCGCCGGCGTCTCTCAAACTCAGCCAGCACTTCTTGCTGCCTCTCACTGATCCGCTCCTCCATCTCCAAGGTCTCTCCTGCAGGGAATCATGGGAAACAGAGTGACGTGACCAGTACACCTGATCAGAATTCACAGGCTGATGTGATGAAGACTATTTCACCAGTTTGATTTAAAGAGGAAGAATCCAGATTTTGTTGCTGTAACCTCAGTAATCAACAGAAATTCTCATGACTCAGTAACCATGGCAACCATTAAAAGGTCACCTGATTCAGCTGGAAACTCACCTGAGGAGAAGTTGATGTTTCCTGCTTTAATCCCCGCCTTCACTGCATCACCTCCTTTTCCTACACTGCTCGCCATTGCCAAGCTGAGGCGCTCTCGCTCCTTCTCCTCCAGGCTGCCGTAGAAAATGCGACTCCTCTTCATGACTGGAGCAGATTCGTCCTCGTCTGACATTTTTACAAACTTATTTCCCTCCTCTAGAAAAACAGAGAGAAATAAACGTTTTATTAGTCTATAGACTAATATCAAAATATCTCAGGCTGGGACTCCTGATGCCTTCTGCACTCCTCGTGATTTCTGAACCGACGGAGCGGTGAGGAGGTGCTGAAGCCAGCCCATTCCTGATGGGCCTTGTTTTCACACCCGATAGTCCGGTAGACTCGGTTCGGTTGGAGACCAATATTCATAACATTTTGTTACATTTGAGCTGGTGCGTTTGAATTGACACTGCACTGTGCAGTCGAGCCAACCTGTTGAACCAACCTGTTCCCTCACTCGCCTGTGGGGGCGCTGCACCAAGAACTACTGAAATAAACTATACAAAAACCTCTGAAGACACTTCTTCTTCTGGAAATAAAAACAAAAACGGAGTGGTATCAAGTTTTAGCAGTTTTAGGAGTTATATTTTGTCATTTTTCAAAAATGGACTCGGCATGAGCGGAAGATGAGGCAGAAGACCATGGAGAATATTGTTTTTTCACACAAGGCAGCTGACGGCTCCATATAAGGTTAGGGTGTCTAACACTGGCCCTTGTGGCCCACTGATAGGGCTAAGTACCGAACCGAGGTTCTTAAATGGCACCCACCAAACTGCACCGATCGGTGTTTGGATTGAAACGTCACTCTTTTTTCGGTGTCAAGTTTCGGTATTGGCTGTAAGGTGTCACGTGGTTTCAGCACGCAGGCAGGTAAAACACCAGACGTATGACAAACAGACTACGTGTTTACACCCAGAGATGTATAGAGCTGCCGTACCTAATCTATGTGTAATGTATGTCTATGGTGCTGGTGATGACCACAGACGGGGTTCACGTGTGCAGTGCGTGTTGTTGAACGGCTTCGACAACACACGAGCAGAAAGTTGCTCTGTGTTTTTCTGCAAGAAGACAGACGGACAGCAACCTCCCCCCTCTCCTCTCAGCATTAGTCAGTCTGTGTGTGTTAAACGGACTCAATCAACATCTCTACGGCCGGACTCGTCTTTATCAAAGAACTCACGAGGACGGCTGTGTCTGTGTTTCAGCTGGTGAGTTTACGTTTGTTAATGTTACTGCAGCTTAACACGTACATCACGGTGAATTAAACTAGAATCCATGTAACGCTAACTTTAAGATATTAGTGTGTAAATTTATTTTATCTACGTAGCTAGCTAAACTCGGAAGCTAACTAAAGATTGACAGTAATAGATGAAGCTTGGCTTGTAAAAATGTGCTCATCCATCCAGTCAGCTGCTTAAACAGTTCACTAATGTTCAGTGTTTATGTTTATCTTCTCCTCACAGGAGCCTCTGACCCCGATGTGAGGACAGAGACAGACAAAAGGAGGTGCAGATGTCTGCCATCAACCCTAACCTCAGTGAATCCAGTGACCTGCTGGTGGAATGTGAGGGAAAATATGTCAGTGCTATCAAACTGACAACCAGGTATCTCTGTGTGCAAAAAGCATCATCTACAGCCTCAGAGTGAACATTTTCTACTGCTGGAGACACCATCAGCCAGGAGTGGGCTTGTTTGTGGCCAGAGAAAGCAGACATGTTGATTTTTCTGAAAAAAAAAAAAAAAAACTGTTAAGTGAAAAGGTCCTCAGTGTGTAGCAGTGAGCATTAGACACTGATGTGTCACTTGTTGATTTCAACTGTTCTTTTGAACTGGAAATTATTTGTTTATTTTTATGTAAGAAAACTGCTTGGAATAGAAATACCAAAGTTAAAAAAAATAATTCACCATATGTACTGTAATGTGTAACGTAATTTTATTCTTGTTAGAATTAATAGTAATTACAAAATTGGTACCGGAAAAAGAACCGTCCAGGAACCGACACCGAAGTAAAGGTACCGGTACCGATACCAATTTTTTTTAGAAAGGTACCCAGCCCTACCCACTGATGGTTTAGGTCAGGGTTAGGGATGCACAATATTATCGGCATGGTATCGGCCAATATTAGCGTTAAAGTTCAATATCGCACATCGGCCATTCCATTAAAATAACTCGCCGATATAAAAGGCGCTGTTTTTGCCTGCAGCGGCAGCACAACGCAATGACGTCACGTGCGCCTACCCGATCTCACTGTGGAGAGAAAATTCAAAATGTCGGCGGTGTGGAAGTTTTATTTTTCGTTGGTCAGGATATCAGATTCCGAAGTTTTATGAACTACGTTGAGCCTCGCTACATCGTCCCCAGTCTGAGAGATTTTTCCAACGTAACATTACCAGAATTACGAGACGTTATTTCCGACGTCATTGAGAAGCTAATAACTGATAGCAAGACTTGTTGGGTGAGTTTTACCACAGACCTTAGGATGTCGTGTTAGCTCTGTTAGCATGATTAGTCTTACGGCACAATGGATAGACAAAAACTTTGAACTTAAAAACTCTGTCCTTCATGCACAGGAGTGCAGAGGATCCCACACTGCAGCAAGGAACCCAGAACAAGCCTCCACAAGTGAGACAGCATCGCAGGTGACTAATGTTAATAAATAACATTCAACTCTTTTCATTTCATATAAGTCAAAGTGATATGCAGATCATATGGCTGTTACTGAATATGTCACCAGCTCTTACAGCTGTTGCACAATTTTTTCATCAAATAAGCCTAAATATGAGGGCTATGTTCTGACAAAGGAACGTATATAAAATATTGGTATCGGCATTGGTTATCAGCCAAATAAGTTTTAGCATATGGACATATAGGCCAAAAATCCAATATCGTGCAATCCGGTACACGTAGACGTCCGGGAGGTCTACGCATACCGAATCAGAGTCGAAGCAGACGCACGCAGGGCATGTCTGTGCAAAGCTAAATTTTTATAACCGCATACTCGTACTCGGTGTCGCACAATAAAATGCCCGGCGACGGACTGTTTTACAAACCGGATTCCAAAAAAGTTGGGACACTAAACAAATTGTGAATAAAAACTGAATGCAATGAGGTGCCAACATCAAATATTTTATTCAGAATAGACGACAAATCACAGATCAAAAGTCTAAACTGAGAGAATGTATCATTTTAAAGGAAAAATCTGTTGTTTCCAAATTTCATGGCGTCAACAAATCCCAAAAAAGTTGGGACAAGTCCATTTCTACCACTGTGTGGCATCCCCCCTTCTTCTTACAACACTCAACAGACGTCTGGGGACAGAGGAGACCAGTTTCTCAAGTTTAGAAATAGGAATGCTCTCCCATTCATGTCTAATACAGGCCTCTAACTGTTCAATCGTCTTGGGCTTTCTTTGTCGCAACTTCCTCTTTATGATGCGCCAAATGTTTCTCTATAGTAAGGCATTAACAGAGTACTTGAGTAATTTACACATCGATTGCTAGGACCTCTATCGAGGTTAAAAATGTAAAGTCGGGTATCCGTAGTGACGTCATATTATGTGACCACCGTATGACCATAGGGGGTGGTGTTGCACTGTTGCAGGTCACAGAGTATGGTGTAACACCGGGTCCAATCCACCGCCCATCCACTGTTTTAAGTTTCGTTTTTGACGTGCTGCACGTTTCTTCCCGTTTGCAGTTTAATAATAATAACTAACAGTTTAGTTTTTCCTGTGACTTATTTGCAGTATGATAAATGGTAGGAGCATAATATACGCTCCCAATGTTTTGTTGGTCTTTTTTTTTTTGTAAATAATTACCTTTTATTTTGGTTTTATTTATTTATTTATTTATTTTTGTATCTTGAGATCTATGACGTCATCAAATACTCGAGTTCTACTCGGGTTTTATTATGTTAATGTCGAGTTTAAAAATTATATACTCGTTCAACCCCTACTCTATAGGTGAAAGATCTGGACTGCAGGCTGGCCGTTTCAGTACCCGGATCCTTCTCCTACGTAGCCATGATGTTGTGATTGCTGCAGAATGTGGTCTGGCATTATTGTGTTGAAAAATGCAGGGTCTTCCCTGAAAGAGATGACGTCTAGATGGGAGCATATGTTGTTCTAGAACCTGAACATAGTTCTCTGCATTAATGGTGCCTTTCCAGACATGCAAGCTGCCCATGCCACAAGCGCTCATGTAACCCCATACCATCAGTGATGCAGGCTTCTGAACGGAGCGTTGATAAGAACTTGGGCTATCCTTGTCCTCTCTGGTCCGGATGACATGGTGTCCCAATGTTCCATAAAGAACTTCAAATCGTGACTCATCTGACCACAGAACAGTCTTCCATTTTGCCACACTCCATTTTAAATGACCCCTGGCCCAGTGCAAACGTCTGAGCTTGTGGAGCTTGCTTAGAAATGGCTTCCTCTTTGCACTGTAGTTTCAGCTGGCAACGGCGGATGGCACGGTGGATTGTGTTCACTGACAATGCTTTCTGGAAGTATTCCTGAGCCCATTCTGTTATTTCCTTGACAGTGGCATTCCTGTTTGAGGTGCAGTGACGTTTAAGGGCCCGGAGATCACGAGCATCCAGTAGAGTTTTACGGCCTTGACCCTTACGCACAGCGATTGTTCCAGATTCTCTGAATCTTTTGGTGATGTTATGCACGGTTGATGATGATAACTTAAAAGTCTTTGCTATTTTACACTGGGTAACACCATTCTGGTATTGTTGCACTATCTTTCTGAGCAACAATGGTGGAATTGGTGATCCTCTTACCATCTTGGTTTCTGAGAGACACTGACAAGAGAAGCTCTTTTTATACCCAATCATGTTGTCAATTGACCTAATTAGTGTTAATTGGTCTTCCAGCTGTTCGTTATGTGCGCAATTTCCTTTTTCCAGCCACTTATTGTTACTTGTCCCAACTTTTTTGGGATTTGTTGACACTGTGAAATTTTGAATCAACATATTTTTCCTTTAAAATGTTACATTTACTCAGATTAAACTTTTGATCTGTCATCTATGTTATATTACAAATAAAATATTGACATTTGTCATCTCCACATCATTGCATTCAGTTTTTATTCACAATTTGTTTAGTGTCCCAACTTTTTTGGAATCCGGTTTGTATATGTGACACCAATGCATTA